AGAAAACACAGAAAAAATAAAAGAATATAGGTAGAAAAAAAATCAAAAAATAAGAAGAAAATAGGGAGAAATATGAAGAGAAAGAAGGTAAAAGAAAGGAAATGTCAGGAATGTATTTGGTTAAAAAGTGCATGGAAAAGAAAAGCAATATGAGGAGAAAGTAAAAAAAGGTGATAAAATATGAGGAATGGAAACACTAAGAGAGGAAAGGAGTACATTAGTAAGCAAAGAAGAAAAAAATGATGAAAAAAGTAGAAAATGAGGGAAATATAAATAATTTACCAGAAAATGGAGAAGATGATGGAAAACAAACAACAGCAAGCTGGCAAAGAGTAAAAGATAATAAAATGAAATGGTAGGAGATGAAAAATGTAAAGACCACAAACAAACAGGCTTCGTACCGTAGACCCAGCCGATGGCCAGAGACTGGAAGATGGAGAGCAGCAGCAGGCTGGCTCCGCTGCAGGAGAAGTGGTCATAGATCTGGAAGACGTACAGACCACCCTGCAGCCGGGCGGAAACAGACGTTCATACAGGAGAGAGAGAGAGAGAGCAACCTCTTAGTTCCACATCATTACAAACAAACAGACGAGAACAGGCAGCAGGCCTTTTCCAGGCTGACTTGGTTTAAGTAACTGAAAGGCTGCAAATTAGAACAAAAAACAAGAGAGTGTGTCTTTAACGCTCCTTAAATAACCACAAATCAGCTGGTTTAATGACAGCGCTGTAGATTATCTGCKTGGAAACCGTCAGCAGGTGTTCCACAAGGATCTTTGTTTGTTTTAAACCAGTTTTTTCTCCATCTGTTTTCTCCAAGTTTAACCCAGTGGTTCTCAATCCTGGTCCTTGAGGACCACTATCCTGCAAGTTKTAGTTGTTTACCTRCTCTTCAGTAGGTCTTTAAGTTCTGCAGAAACTTGTCAATCAGTCACTCATTTAAATTAAATCAGGTGTGCCAAAGCAGGAAAACATCTAAAACATACAGGATAGTGGTCCTGGAGGACCAGGACTGAGAACCACTGGTTTAACCTTAATACTGACAGGATGCTGCAGAACTGTCTGTTACAGAAATGAATTTTTTTTTTGAAATGACTCAGAAATTTCATGTGAATGCTGTATTGTGGATCTGGTAATTTACACAGATTAAATA